CAGATGGTGTTCCAGCTATAACTCAATGTCCAATTCAACCTGGTAAATCATTTCTGTACGATTTTTATGCGAATGATAAATCTGGCACTCATTGGTAGTAAGTAGATGATTTAAATAATTATTATGGTTTAAGCCTATCTCATATTTATAATAACAGAAATATGGAATTATAATATAAAATCTAGTCATTCACATTATAAAACTCAGCGTATAACCGGATTTTATGGCTTGTTAATTATTAAAGAGACTGATACTACCTATAAAGACTATGTGGATCACATCATACTTATATCAGATTTGTATCACGAAAACGAACAAATTTTATTGGATAATTACCAATATACGACCAGCGATTCACCTTGTACCAGAGTAAAATATGAGGTACGATAATAAAATCTCGTTTTAAAAAATCGGCTCACAAAATATTATACATTTTTTATTTTAATAGCCCGTTCCGTACTCAATTCTTATTAATGGTCAAGGCAAAGGAAATTGTGGAAAAAATTGTAATCGTACTGAACAGTGTGAAGAAAAATTGTACTGGACCCTCAGTAGAAGATTGTTATGACTGTGAAAAAATTTGTTTTACTTCAGCCGAAACTGAAATAGTGTACGACTTATCAAAAGGAGATAAACATCGATTTCGTATAATTAACGCCGGGTAATAATAAAAAATTGTCATATTCGATTATATCTTCTATTGCTATAAATCAAAAACATATATACTGTATATCTATCTAGTGCACAAATAGAATACCATTTCTCTATTGATAATCATAAGTTACAAATCATTGAGGTTGATGGGCAGCACGTCGTGCACTTCGAAAGAGACAGACCAGTCCATCATTTACCAATTCATGTTGCACAGAGATATTCAGTGATTGCCATCCGAGATCCAGCAGCACAGAACATAACCAAATTTTGGATGCGCATAAATACAAGAAGTGATTGCCTTCGGAAAAATACACCTTGTTGTCAAAGGCAAAGAATGGTTAAAAATATTCTAGCGACAATTAGGTATGATTCTTCTGAAGGGAAACCGGATACAATTTCGGATACATGGAGTGACTCTAGTTCGGTTAGATGTGATGATTTTAATCTATCTTATTTGGCACCAAAAAATTCGTCATCATTACCACCATCAACAGTAGATAAAACTTTTAATTTGAGCATTTACATGTTAGCAGATCCTGATCACATTGGTTCAGGAGCTTACAACTTAACCACAGTCGGGGAGGTGTATGAAGAGAATAGCCCCAAAACGTATATTGCCTACGATGATTTCCATAATACATTGGAAAGTGT